CAGAGCAAGTGGAGGCCAGGACCTGAAAGGCTCAGGTCCAGGCTAGGGTCTCCCATCGCCAAACCTGGGGCCGACGACGAGTGCACACGGTGGCCCCATGCAGGGCACACGGTGTGCTACTGCCTGCTCGTGGGCAGCGGGCCTGACTGTGCTGCCGCCCGATGACAGGCCCCGCACGGGCCACCATGGACCTGGATTCGTGGGTGGCAGCTTGATGAACAGCTACTTCCCACGCAGGAAACAGCAGGTGAGTGCAGAGGACTGGGCGGGGCCAGCTGGCACGCCCCACAGACATGGCTGCGTCAGGCATCTGGGCACGCCCTGCGCCGTGGCTGGCCACGACCCCAGCACTCCTGGTCTGCTCGGCCTCCTTTGCCCCGCTCTCCTCTGTTCTCTCTCCTCTTCTCGCACCCAGGCTGGGTAGGTGTGCCGTGGACACCAGGCACTCTCCCTCCCACGGACTTGGAGGCTTTCAAAGCAGTGTCACCCTGGCTGCACTGTGACCTGCCGTGCTTCCACCTTCCTTACTAGCTTGGTTTAAAGCTTTCATTACAGGGCCATGCAATTACACGGGGGGTGAAAAAGCACCCCCGGGGGGCAGTGGCCACAGTGCAGTCCCTTCTCCGTTCTCCTCTTGGGACCTTGTGTGCACACACATGCGCCCACATGTTGGGTTTTTTTTTTTTTTGAGAGGTTTTTGCTATAGGGCACGTGCACTCGCCAGACAGAGAGAGACAGAGAGACAGAAAGCGAGAAATCACCCCCCAGGGGGGATGGTCACGCCGCAATCCCTTCTCTTCCATTCTCCTCTCGGGATCTTGGGCACGCATGCACACATGCCCGGGGTGAATTTTAAGCCACGGGGTCTGGGACACGAACTGCAGTCGACTACGTGGGAGTCCAGCGATACAGCCATTACGCTAACTGCTGGTTCCCCACCCGCATGTTTTTTAAGCCACCATATCCGGGACTTAGGCAATGTGGTTAGTCATGTGGGATCCAGTGCCTTAACCACCAAGCCGATTGCTGGCCCCGGCACTGCCTTCCGTACCATGTCACTGGCATAACTGCTGGGTGACACCTCCAGTCCCATTTCTGTCAAACGCGCTCTGGCGTCACCAGCAGGCAGTCATCACAGTGCCTATGTGGGTGTGGCACGGCCGCCGATAGGCCCCAGCCGGCCCCACATCTTCTGCAGCTCCCGTCTGGCTGCACTTGGTCAGGCTGCCCTGACTACACGGGACGGCGCTCGATGGCAACCACGAATGCACAGCCCTGCGCACTCCCACCGTGTAACCAGTGGCTCCGCGGCGACAGGCCTGAGCCTGTCAGGACTGCTCACAGGCTTGCTACCAACCAGCCAGCACTGATGCCTCACCAGCCAAGTGCTGATTCGGGCTCTCTGAGGCTGCGGCCCCAAGCAGCACCACACCAGGCAAGGGGACACCCGTCCTGGGGCTGCCAGCCTGACCCCATGTGGTTACTGCTGCCTCGGGACTTAGACTCAGGAACCAGCCTCATCACCAATTAGTGCACCGTGGTTTCAGTCCACACTGGGGTACGGCTCACAGTGAAGTCTTCTAGACTTTAACATACGTATGCATTGGGGCTAGCCCCTGAGCCTTGGGGTTGAGGGACCTGGACCCCACAGGGCTCACTATGGTTCGAATTCCAGGCCCAAGGGCTGGAGAATCATGCCAGGCGCAAGTGCCCACGTGCCCAAAACCTCAACAGGACGAAGGTATGCATGGCAAAGAGGTCACAGTGCAGCCATACCTTTCCCGGGTGCTCAACTTCCTGTCCCACTGGTGTGAGCGTGTCGTACTTCTACCACCACCCCCATACACTCCCACTCCTGAAGCAGACACCCACGTGTCCAGGAGAATGATTTGTGCTCGCACACCCTCCTGGGGAGGCGCTGCCTGTGAGTGCCCATGGACTTTCCTTATTGAGTAGAGAGCAGGTGTGCCGGCCAGAGACAGCGAGAGCGAGCGGGGGAGAGAGCATCCCACAGGGGCGTCCAGCCTGCAATGCCTTCCCCATCCTCTCAGGACTCAGGGCACGCACTCACGTGCGTTTGGCATGTTACTCAAGCCCCTAGGTCCACAACTCAAATTACACAGTCGGCCATGTGGGACCCAGCCACAGCGACCATCATGGTGGGCCAGCCTGTACCGGTTACCCACAGGTTGTGAGACGCTGCTGCACAAGGTGGGGTTGTTACAGACTCACTTCTCTGACGGGAAGTACGACCTCACGGTGTCGTTGACAACGTCAGGTTCCTCTCCGACTCTGTCACGGCTCACAAGAACAAGCAGGGAGGAGGGCCCCGTTCTTGAGCAGCCCCCCAGCACCGGGTGCCCGAGCTGCCCACGCCCATCCCGTCCCTCCACTGCGCGGTGACCACGCACCCCAGCACTGGGTGCCCGAGCTGCCCACGCCCATCCCGTCCCTCCACTGCGCGGTGACCACGCACCCCAGCACTGGGTGCCCGAGCTGCCCAAGCCCATCCCGTCCCTCCACTGCGCGGTGACCACGCACCCCAGCACTGGGTGCCTGAGCTGCCCACACCCGTCCCGTCCCTCCACTGCACAGTGACCACGCGCCCCAGCACCGGGTGCCCGAGCTGCCACACCCGTCCTGTCCCGTCCCTCCACTGCGCAGTGACAATGCAGCCCATGACACTGGCTTCTGCCTGAAGCTGGCAGCCCCGGCCCCCACCTCCCGCCCAGACTCCTTCTCTAGCCTTCATACACATCTGCCCACCTGCCCACTGGCCACCTCCTTAGGTAGGTCCCAGTGCAGCCACCCAGCCCACACAAAGCCGTCACCTTCTCACCCTGCGCTCCGTTTGTTCGTGACTCACTAAGGGCACACAGCATCAGAACCAGCCTCCCAAATGCCCTTGACTGCCAGGCAGCCTCCCACTGCAATCCCAGACCCAGCGACCACGGCGCAGCTCAGCCCGCTCAGTCCCTGTGCTGCCCCTTCAGCCCGAGAATGGCCAGAGCCAGTCCCCACACTGCCTCTGCCCAGTCCTCTCTCGTCTGTCCTCCCTTCACAGAGGTCACTCTCGCATAACACCCCTGCTCAGGACCAGGCGCTCCACGTGCAGCCAAGCAGCCTTCAGCAGCCCAGGACGAGGACTCATCCTGGCTCAGCGACGCCTGGTTGGATGCCCCCACCGTCGATGGGGGCCTGGCATCAGTTCCTAAAGAATCACTGAAATGACTGCGTCTCACTTGAGTGTAAGTTATTTTAGAACGCTATTTTCTATGAACAAAATCACAGTAAAGCCAAAACGTAAAACTTACATCAAGTTGAACAAATCGCAGAAACTCTCCAACCAGCTCCTTCGACACCGCTTGGACAAATGTCTCCCGTTTTTCCATGACAGATGAAACCGGTCCACAGGCATTTAGTGCCCCTAGTAGGGAACAAATCATACTGGAGCTCACATTCGCCGGTCGGCCTCTTCCTACAAGATGTAACTTGGACTTAACACCCAGGAACTACAGAGAATTCTCGGACCACTGCAGACACTTCCTTACAACCCTCAACACAGAACATTCCGATGTGTAAGAGTGTAAGAAGGGACGTACTGATTCCCGTTCTGAGGACAGTACCGGCGCTGACCCGTTATCCGCGCTGCCAGAGAAGCTGCCGAGCAAGGAGACAGCCCGCGGCTCCAGGCTCGTCCCTTCAGCTTAGCGCTGCGGAGGCCGGCGAGCTCGGGAGGGAGGCTGCTCCACCTGAGGACGCCTCCTTCAGCAAGAGTCCCACTGCGTCGTCGTCATTCACGGCAAGCCGAGGCAGCGGCCTGGTCACCGGGGAGCTTGTTAAGATGGTCTCAGGCTGCACTGGTGAGCCACCCCAGCACACCCCTCCCCACGCTGCGGGTAACGAGAGCCCAGGGGACGGCAAGTCCCACCTCACACTCGTGCCACCTGCTGCCAGCGGGCCCCACTCAAACACACTGCCCCCAAGGCGACCTCATAGCAAGTGAGACAGATCCCTTCTCTCTCTCTTTTTACAATTTGCTACAGGAGATGTGTGTTCGCCAGAGAGACGTGAACAGAGAAAGCAACCCTGGGGGATGGCCACACTGCACTTCCTCCTCCTCCATCCCCTCCTGGGTTCAGGGTGTGCACGTATACGTGCCTGGCGTGTTCTCCAAGCTGCTGGGTCGGGGACTCGAACCACGCAGCCAGCCGTGTGGGATCCAGCCGTCTTAGGCACCACACCACCAGCTGGCCTGGCCCGCGCTCTCTTAGATAAGCAAAAGCCCCAGGAGTATTACAGATGGAGCCACGTGGACAATTACTGGTGCTGACGGCAACCACAGGCACCTTGGACAAGCAACCCCCGACCTCCCTCTCCAAATCGGACAGAAACTGATCTTAGTTTAATGACTCCCCAGGAAGTAACACTGAGGGGTGGCGATCTTGCCTTGGCCTGCGAGGTGGCCACGGATTTGGAAAGGACAGACAGCCACGCAAGTAGTGTAAAGGGGGGACAGGGCAGAGCGGACGTCTGGGGGAGAGATGGCTGTGGCACTGAGCCATTCCCAGGTCTACGTTAGGAGCGACGGGCGGGCGGGGGCGGGAGAGGGGAAGACAAGGCCAGGTCTGCCTATCGTCTGCAGCTGTGAAGTCTCCCCGGCCTTCTTGGCTGACACAGCTCCTTTAACTCCCTCTGCCCTGCAGTGCAACAGCAGGTATACCTTCGTCAGCGCTCTCGCTTGCCCTGCAATGTCAGCTCAAAGACCACGTCTACTTTAAAGGTCGCTAGTGCCGGGTCCAGTCCTGGCCACTCCCTACACCATCCCTCTCCTCAGCTCAAAGGGCCCAGCAAGGAGCTGTACTTTACTAAAACGGGAGGGCAGGGAGGGCAGCTGGAGCGGGGGATGCCAGCAGCAACCAGTGCTGACAAGGTCAGAGAAGCAGCCGCGCTCAGTCAGGCACCCCACAACACCCACTCTCCTGCCCACTCCAGCTCCGAGTGCCCACCTGGCGATGCCAGTCCAACCAGCAGCCCACACCCAGACCCACGCCTGCCCCCATTCCTCACCCAATCACAGCCACTTAATGTGGTACTGTCCCCAGGCAACTTCCTGGCGGTGTGGCCGTCGCACTAACGGCAGCACCAAGCACTCCCAGGTTACGGTCTCGGCCATGACTAGCTGTGGGCCCTGCAGGGCTGCCACTAGCAAGACAGCGTTGGCCGTGCAGGACCGGGCGGCATTTAGTGGTTAACCCCACTTACACTGGGTCTCCCTCTTGCCGCGACACTCCGGCTTCTCAGACTATTGGTGTTCAAGACCTTGTCCCGGGGCTGGAGGGCAGCTTTCCAGGTCAGGGGTCATCTCGCCATCCAGCCACCGTCCCCACAGCAGGGCTCTCTTCTGCAGTTGGGCTATAAATTAAAAGGAGCCTGAGAAGGGAGCCATCCCTGTGGCTGTCCGAGTTCCCACCAGGTAAAAGCTGAGGCGCCAAAGCAGACTGTGGGTGCGGGAGCTAACTTCTCTGATGTCAGTGGGGCAGGGCCCCCCAGCTCAGCGCTGGGCAGGGCAGGGTCCACCGGGGAGGTCAGCGCTGGGCAGGGCAGGGTCCACCGGGGAGGTCAGCGCTGGGCAGGGTGGGTACCCCAAGGGGGTCAGTGCTGGGCAGGGTGGGTACTCCAAGGAGCTCAGCGCTGGGCAGGGTGGGTAGCCTGGGGAGGTCAGCGCTGGGCAGGGCAGGGTCCACTGGGGAGGTCAGCTCTAGGCAGGGTGGGTACCCCAAGGAGGTCAGCGCAAAGCAGGGTCCCCTCAAAGATCAGCGCTGGGCAGGGTGGGTACCCCCGGAGGTCAGCGCTGGGCACGGCAGGGGCAACGCTCCGCGCCGGAGCTGGCCGGAAGCTCAGTCGCAGCGGCCACCCGGGAAGGCCCCGTCCCGCCTGGGGCCTGACGAGCGCCCCCTGCTCGCTCCCACCCTGCCCCGCGCCCCATTCGACCACGCACCGCGGCGGTCACTCTTCGCGGGCTCCTTCCGTTTCCCGCGCTCCGACAGGATTCAAACACACCCG